ACGCACAAAAACAACCTGGGTTTTATAATAAGTATAACTCGATATGAGTTGTTCCCTTTTCATTCTCGCCTCTTAATCGTGTTTTCAAATTGATTTCGTGCAAAAACAATTGTGTTTTTCCAATTTTTGGCGCTGTCAGAACCACCGCAAGGTAATTTTACGTAGTCCTGTGAAGTTTTATTGAAATCGGTTGAAAAATGTAGGAAATCCAATCCAATATATAAACCAACAGACACACACACACACACAACCTGGGTTTTATAATAAGTATGATCTATATATAAAATTCTGTGACCTCCGTTATTCCGTCCGTCTCACACTCTAAAATAGCCATACATTGACCGATCGAAACCAAATTTTGGGGATAACTGCAAACATAAGGGTTTACAAAGTGCAGTTGGTTGCGAACATCGTACGCAACCAACTGTACTTTGTAAAACAAAGTACATAGGGTGCGTAGCTTAGTACAATAAATTTTCATTTACTTTTTTGGGAATATAAAGTTTTATTATTTAGCATAAAAATAGTCCCACTATTTAAAAAAAAATCAAGTTAATGATTAAAATAACGAATAATTATTTAATAAAAACCCAATACTTTTTAATATTTTGCATATCTATACAAGAATTCAGTCTCCAGTTCGACCTGCGATTGTGAGAACTATAAACAAATTTCAAGGCCAAACGCTTCAAAAAGATAGCTCCAGAAAGAAATATTTACGCATGGCCAGTTGTATGTTGCATGTAAGAAACCCTAAGAATTTTCGTTGTTAAAAAGGAAAAAAAAAAAGAAATTTTACCATGAAGTCCTATAAGATTAAATTAAATTAAATTATTAAAACGCGGAGTAGGGTTTTTATCAAAATATTTTTCCTAACAAATCGGCTTATTCAAATTTCATCGATTGATTTGCGAAATTGAAGGAAACGTAGAGTTTGTAAATATCGACAAAAATATTAGCGATAACTTCAACAATACTAAATGCTGTGAGGATTCCAACGCTCATCATTGTGTTGCAAAGTAATTCTAGTTCACCGGAAATACCCGTTCTTTTTTTTTTTTTTTTAAATAAATTTGAAAAGGAAGTTAGAATACATCAATATTTCTGAGATAATTGTAACTATTTACACTATTTACATTGTTCTGACTGTTTCATTCACGACGATCTTCAGGTGATATTTGTTGGAATTTCAAACTAAAACCCTTTTATTTAGACCACATTGGGAGATTCCACGTTTGGATATCTCAGTTTCAGTTAATTCGTCTTGATTCTCCAAGTTTTTGTTTTCTCCGCCGAGGATAGGGATTGATCTCACAACTCTCTGGGTCAAGGCACTTTTAAGATCAATCAACCAACGTTTTTATCCACTGGACCATTGGGGTTTTTAGAATAAACCAGAACTTATAATGGTTGCCAACGGGTTGCATATACATGCAAAATGAACTGATGCACAAAAATAGAAAAGGGGCATAAGACAAGGATGCATCTTCTCACCGGGCTTATAAAACCTCTACAGCGAGGCTTTACAAAGGGAGCCGGTGGGCCTACTAGGATTTATTATCGGTTGGCAAAATCTTAGCAATATATGATACGCAAATGACACTGTGTTTATGACAGAGACAGAAGGAAAACTACAGGACCTCCTAGACAAGGTAATAAAGGAAAGCGATAAGAAAGGACTATCTACTGTTAAAAGGCAGAATATCAATAAGAGAAGTTCAAGACATGAACTACAAATTAAAGATGTCAACCTCAAACAATTCAGTCAGTTATGTGCCATGTGTGATACATTCTTAGGCGATCATGTATATTTCGATACAATCATGTATCTTTCGAAACATGATTGATGAGGCAGATTTTTTCCCGCAGTAGGTTGTTAAAGATGTCAACCTCAAACAATTCAGTCAGTTATGTGGCATGCGTGATACACGCTTAGGCGATCATGTATCTTTCGATACAATCATGTATCTTTCGAAACATGATTGATGAGGCAGATTTTTTCCCGCAGTAGGTTGTTAAAGATGTCAACCTCAAACAATTCAGTCAGTTATGTGGCATGCGTGATACACGCTTAGGCGATCATGTATCTTTCGATACAATCATGTATCTTTCGAAACATGATTGATGAGGCAGATTTTTTCCCGCAGTAGGTTGTTAAAGATGTCAACGTCAAACAAGTCAGTCAGTTATGTGGCATGCGTGATACACGCTTAGGCGATCATGTATCTTTCGATACAATCATGTATCTTTCGAAACATGATTGATGAGGCAGATTTTTTCCCGCAGTAGGTTGTTAAAGATGTCAACGTCAAACAAGTCAGTCAGTTATGTGGCATGCGTGATACACGCTTAGGCGATCATGTATCTTTCGATACAATCATGTATCTTTCGAAACATGATTGATGAGGCAGATTTTTTCCCGCAGTAGGTTGTTAAAGATGTCAACCTCAAACAATTCAGTCAGTTATGTGGCAGGCGTGATACACGCTTAGGCGATCATGTATCTTTCGATACAATCATGTATCTTTCGAAACATGATTGATGAGGCAGATTTTTTCCCGCAGTAGGTTGTTAAAGATGTCAACCTCAAACAATTCAGTCAGTTATGTGCCATGCGTGATACACGCTTAGGCGATCATGTATCTTTCGATACAATCATGTATCTTTCGAAACATGATTGATGAGGCAGATTTTTTCCCGCAGTAGGTTGTTAAAGATGTCAACCTCAAACAATTCAGTCAGTTATGTGGCATGCGTGATACACGCTTAGGCGATCATGTATCTTTCGATACAATCATGTATCTTTCGAAACATGATTGATGAGGCAGATTTTTCCGCAGTAGGTTGTTAAAGATGTCAACCCTCAAACAATTCAGTCAGTTATGTGGCATGCGTGATACACGCTTAGGCGATCATGTATCTTTCGATACAATCATGTATCTTTCGAAACATGATTGATGAGGCAGATTTTTTCCCGCAGTAGGTTGTTAAAGATGTCAACGTCAAACAAGTCAGTCAGTTATGTGGCATGCGTGATACACGCTTAGGCGATCATGTATCTTTCGATACAATCATGTATCTTTCGAAACATGATTGATGAGGCAGATTTTTTTCCCGCAGTAGGTTGTTAAAGATGTCAACGTCAAACAAGTCAGTCAGTTATGTGGCATGCGTGATACACGCTTAGGCGATCATGTATCTTTCGATACAATCATGTATCTTTCGAAACATGATTGATGAGGCAGATTTTTTCCCGCAGTAGGTTGTTAAAGATGTCAACCTCAAACAATTCAGTCAGTTATGTGGCATGCGTGATACACGCTTAGGCGATCATGTATCTTTCGATACAATCATGTATCTTTCGAAACATGATTGATGAGGCAGATTTTTTTCCCGCAATAGGTTGCCATTTCTTTCTGCGGTAGACCAGTTGCCATCCAAGGCTACAGAACCCGGTCAGTCCTGGTATTTATCCATAGCTGGAGGGAGAAGAAGATGATTCATACCTTTCCCAAGTGTATGAGCACGTAAGTGAATGTAATGGATTCCACTGGAATTCGAACTCGGCTCTCCGATACCTCAATCCGAGCCGCTATTCATTACTCCACCCAATTTTAAGCATATCTGGGAAGATGATGGAAAATGCGACATCGGAATCCGAATGCACACTGAGACAGCAAAAAATGCCTTCCCAAAGCGAAGCAAAGTATTAAGAAACAGGAAAATTTCATTAGAAACAAAGGGATGTCAATCCTCTTATGTGTTAGTGAATGCTGAACAATCTCCCAAAAGAGTGGAGACGAGAGAAATGTGGTTCTACAGAAGGATAGTGAGATTTCCATGGATGAAGCGCGTTAACAACGAAGAACTCTCAAAGAAAATGGTAATAATCGGAACATTTGTAGGAAGAATCAGAAATAGACTGCTGAAATTGTGCGATGCATAATGAGGAAGGTGGGCTTGGTGAACTTGACACTCACAGGACATAACGAAGGCAAAAAGGGACAGAGGAAAGAAGTTGGCTACCTGCCTGACGATGCTGTGTGTTTAGCGGGCCGAGAGTTGGAAGGCTTGCTAAATGAAAAAAAAAACGTTCGTATGTGATACAAGGGATAAGAGGTTATGGCGAACCATGATCGTTCACGTCCTGAAAGGACACGGCACGTAGAAGAAGATGAATCCAATTATGTCCGCGTTCATCTCATTGATAATTAACGTGTCGCTTGTATAAATAATGGTCAAAAGCTGATCCCAAACTCAGAGTTTACAATGTTATTTTTAATCTAAAGGTCACCCAGTACAAGGCTCAAGAGGCACTTGGTTAAACGTCTGTGAATGAATTATGTGGTGGAAATACTAGAAAAGGTAGAAGGATGCGAAATTTTGATTGACTTGACCCTTGAACTGAAGAGGCATTCAAGAAAACATCTGTTCTACAAAGTAGCAGTTCTCGAGAGTGCAATTTTCTCCTTACAAATGGAATACGGGAGAAATGTGATAGATTCAACTCCTTGGACGTATCAGTGCGAGTTTTAACTGTAAAGGGCCCACCTGGTCGAACTAAAGAATGGAACTAATTTGAACATTTGTGGAATTAGCGGCAATGGTAGTTTATGTTTATTTTGCATCGATTCGATTCGTAAAGGCAAGAGTTCATCTCATACAGTGAGGTCATTTTTAAAAAATTACATGTGCTGCCCATTTTAGTTGTTGCTGCTCTTGGAAGTCTTCCCGTAACAATATCTTTGGGGAATATTTGAATCCATCTCACCCGCCCTAGCTAGGGTTAAATGGTAGAGTAGGTTCGATTCTCTAGAATCAGATGGTAAGCAATTCAAAGGAAGAATAAAAAAAAAAGAACGGCCTGACGAGAGAAGGGCTCCGTCTGGTTAACTTACCCTAGACACACACATTGCTGTAGAAGTGGGGCATCAAGGACCTTAATGAGTTTCAGGACTCGTCCGAATATGTAACTTGCAAGCCGAGTTATAATTCCGAAAATGGTAGTTTGTGTTTATTTTGCATCTATTCGATTCGTAAAGGCAAGAGTTCATCTCATCCAGTTAGGTCATTTTTAAAAAACGTTTTGCAACTATTTTTAGCATCTGTCTATATTTCTGAGATGACGTATTATAAATATTTACTCTATTTACATTGGACTGTCCTCATTTTCTTCGCCATATTGACGGCGTTTAGTTTGGTTGTTTTGTTAACGATGTAAGTGTTTATTTGCGTTTGTGTTGTCGACTTTGAATAAGAACTCGGAGAGCCGAGTTCGAATCCCAGTCGTGTTCGTTATATTAACTTACGCACAAGATACCCTTGGAAAAGGTATGAATCCATCTTTTCTCTCCAAGCTATGGGGTGAATAGCAGGGCACTCTGTATTCTTTAGCCTGGGTTGGCAACGAGTCTAACGCAGAAAGAAATGGCAACCTACTACAGGAAAAAAATTCTGCCTCATCAGTCAAGGAATTCCGCAAGACGCTCATTCGGGCGGAGAAAGCAGCGTGGAACAGCTTTGTCGCACTAGTTTTCGGCTTCCCGGTGAATCACAAGGCCGAAAACTAAGTGGAGTGTATTGAAACCCTGGTGAAGAACAACGGCAGAATAGGCTGCAGGATGTCCCTCACAGTCCCCTTGACGCTCATCTTGATAAATTCAGGAAGAACATAGGTGGAGCGTACCCCACCAGGATATACTGGAATTTAAACACCGCTATCAAGTATCGTTTAGTGAAAACATGATGGGAGACTATATTTGTGGGCTGATTTTTTAATGAAATTTACAGTATAAGCGTAAATTGCGAAAAATAACTCACATCTAAATTTTTTATGGTCTCTCTTGTGTAATCCTAGAATGATTAAATAAATGCTACCATTGAAACATATATCGTTTTGCTATTACTTTGCCTGAACGAAAATATTCACATTCGCCTATTTTCTCAATGGGAATAGTTAAATTTCAGAAATATCTTTATCATGGTCACAAAAGCAAAGTTTGAAGGAAATATTAGCCATTTTTCATACTGTTCAGGAGTAAGCAAATAGGAAATAATAGTTGCTATCCAAAGACTAAAACCGTGTTACACAGTGATCGGCGGGTTATTCGATGTAACGTTGGAACGAAGTTTTTAGGAACGTGATAACAAAAAGACATTTGCAGGATGCGATGGGTAAATTGTCGCCATATTTTATTTCTAATTTCGCACATGCGCGTTGTTTGTTTTTGATTTTGTCGACTGCACAGCATAGTAGGGTTAACTGAGCACCGTCTGTGAGAAAAAGAACACTATGACATAATTTACTCCGTCAGAAATTTCCAAATGGCATGCTGTACTGTTTGGCATTCGCGCCGGAAGCTCCAAATACGTACATTTCCGAGTGTTTGGGTGTCAATTTGAAGACAATGCAGAGGATTCGGAAGGA